TTTGTTGACGAACTCGAGCCAGGCGACTTCCGGGGCTTCTTCAACAAGGAACAACCAAGTTGTAGCCCAGACGAGCTGGGCTAATCGATCGTGGCTTGTGCTGGTTCGTACAGTCTCATCGTTCGCATTCCGATATTCCCCATAGCAGACGAAGTTGTAACTGATGACTGCGTGATCACTGCGACCCAGCGGGCAGTCTACAACCAACACATCAATCACATGCTCCTCGTTGGCAAGCACAGGATCTAGCACAGATGACCTGTTACCTGTTCTGAACCGACTTCTCAAAGTGATGTGATTATAAAGTGGAACACTAGTTACGAGAACTTGTGGATCGGCTTTGAATTGTTCTCTGGTCATGGCAGGAGTTTCTACACAATGTATGTTGAAATCACCCATGATAAGTATGTGAGTGTAATTTCGCCGTAAACTGCATCTTAAAGCAGCCGCTGGTTGGTAGTCGGTTTTGGGTGTAGAGTTAGGGGTGCAGTACGCCAAAACAATAAGGCAAACCTCTCTGCCTTTTAACTGCAAGCAACACCAAAGAGAGTCGGGGAACTGCGCGTCTGAATCGGCCACGGCTTCGAACTGTAACTCGTTTCGGTAATGTCGGGTTACTCCTCCTCCTTTTGTGAGTCTATCGTTCCGGATCAGCGATATGCCCGGTAGCGAAACTTCAGCGTCCGTCATTCCCGTGTGCAATCACGTCTTGGTGATACCAATGATTTCATATGACCCGGAAGCTTGGCGATCTTTCAGTTCGGCCCGTTTATTATAAAAACCCTGAGGATTTGTACCCAGGCAGGCCAGTTTCTCGGTCTCTAGGAACCCACAGAGGGTTAAAGGGGTCAAGTGTGGGAGAATGCCGACCGATGGAGGTCGACGGTTACTAGTTTTTGATAGGATAAATATACCTCGTCTGGAAGTTGATTTGGCCAAAGGTACGTCCAAATGTTTATTTAGACCTACGTCAGAGTCAATTAAAACAACAGTCAAGTTAAGCTCCTTTGTCATCGTCGGTACTTGTGCTGCATCAGGTGCTTTAATATTTGAACTGTGCAAAGCTTCTGCAACCTTTAACCGAAGTCCTGAGGGAAGACTTATCCGATTTCTTCGCCATTGATCCAAAACATCCGTTGCTTGTTGCTCTGACTGAACCACAAGTTTTAGGATTCTAGGGCCGCATCCTGCATAATTTGGTGAGAGGGGTATCCTGGTGAGCGATAACGTCACAATATTACCTAAAGAAAGTATTGCACGAATGAACCGCCACTGTTCTAAATCGTGCTTTCCGGTCTCTTGGACATCGTTAGAATGATGTTTTGGCACGTCATATAGGAAGGCTGTGTTTAGGCGGTCTTGCTTGCTGCGTCCTTCTTCGGTGTTTCATTTGGATTGCCGCGTGCTCCAAGGGACATCAGGATAGATGCGTATCTCACATGATCCGTGTTTTAGCGCGCTTGCGGATAGCAAAGCTTTTGCTACCTCGGTGGAAGATTCTAGTGTTACTCGAATAAGTCTGGGTTATCCATAGTGTGGCGAGTTCGGAGGACTTTGACTCATCAGCACGCACAATGAGTACCATTGGTCTTGGTCGTACGTAACTTACCCCGCAATTTGATGGTGATAAATTCAAGGATATTTGAGTCTACAACAGTCCGGGCACTATTGTTGAATCCCTTCTTTGTTGATCTACAAGGTAGGGTAATCGTTTGTCCTGACCTGCTGACAAGTGTTGATTGTATGCTGTGCGTCCCTCTATACGCGTTAACGATGTTTACAACAAATGATGCCGCAACGGCGGCCTCCCGATTTACGTTTTCAGCAATCTCTGCATACGTAACCGATGTTCCTGGGGGATATGTCGCGACAAGAGACATATGAGCTACAGGTACCGAGGGATGGCGTATGGCTGTTTCATCCTTGTTAGTGCTAGATGTCGGGTCTGGTGAAATTTCCTTAACCAAACGTTTCGAGTGAGGCCTGTTTTTCGTTGCCATGAGTACTGTTTGACTCCCGCAGGCACGGTCAGTTTTCGCCCGGCGTTCTATCAAATTTTGAGAAGACAACGGACATGGGGACGTGGTTGATTGCGGTGCAGGGGAAGCGGATTGTGCAGCATTCCGTTGCTTAGAGACCACTACGCTTCCCTGGAGCATGCTCCCTTCCCTTGAAGTAATCCCATCGTTTTTCCTCTGCTGGGCTTCTGCGGTTAACCTTTCGAACTTCTGAACTAGGATAAGCAAGCACTTAACGAGTGGGATGGTCCAGCACGCAGTACAGAACCAAAGCGCACCTTGTGAGCTATTTCGCTCTCGTACCTGTTGTTGAGATCCGTTTGCACATCGGATAACACCATCCCAAACAGTGCCAGCAAGCTAGACCTATTTTAACTAATTGATGACATTCTTCTAACCCGTAGATGTCTTTCTCTTGGAGCCTTTTCGGATTCATATTTCTGCCATTCAACGTGGTGCCGTTACCTGACCCAGTGGGTTGCTTGGCGTTCTGCACGTTTCCAGCTTTGAGAGTGTTGCACATCGGTCAGACGAGCGTGGTGGTTGCAAGATCAAATGAGCGGTCGGCGTGGTCGCGCGGTCCGTGTGATGGGTAATGCAGGCGCACTGGCTGACAAGGTCACAAGAAATGGCGAGTGACTGGAACCTGCTAACTGAATCTGAACACAGCGCTGAAAACATCATGAGAGATCACAAATTCTTTCACAGCTGTGTTGAGAAACTCCGGAGTGGAATAAGCTTAGGCTTTTCGAACTGCCTCGAGAATCCTGTATCGAATGGTGTCACACAGAAAGGCAGTCAGCCCAATGTGCTTGAGTTATCCGCTTGCGCTTAATCACGGATGACAGTGAAAACGGCACGGACTTTAATCGTAGAAGATAATTCTACGTATGTTGGATCACTGGGTAGGGCTGGTAAATCCGGTTCGAATGAGCGTACAGTAACAACGCCGCAAGCAGATGGAGAGAGGATAGAGAAGAGAATCCAAATGAACCAGGAGCACGCACGTCGCGCGTGTGTGCATGGCGACAAAGTTTGCGGCTGCCCTGGGTGTAGTGGTGTCACGCCAGTCCTCCACCCTGTTCTAACTTGTTCCTGTCTCACTCTACTTGTCGTCTTATAGTTTCATGTTATTGTATTGGTACTGGAGACACTACGAATGTTAACATCTACCAGTCTTCGTTTTTATTGACTGATTCGTTTTTAAGGGGTTTCATACAAATTGCATATCAAACCTCTGGTTATATGTTTAACGTCGCGAGCCCATTGCTATCCTGGGAGCTTTTCCAGTTAAGCCCCGCCACTAAGGCAAAAAGGGTACACCTGAAAAGTCAAGCCCCACCAATAGTGCAAAAAGGGCACGCGTGAAAAGTTGAGCCCCGCCACTGTTTGCCAGCTCCAGTGTAGGTAATGCGTGTGAACGTGCCCCATAAAAACACTCCTTATCCGCTTCTAAGGTCATTTTTGTCCAAAAAGTTTCTACGTTCGCACGTAAAACCTGACATGACCTTTCTGACGCTTTCGGCGGTGGTTCATGATAAGGAAACAGCAATACGTTTTTTGCAAATTCATGGAGTGATTCATCATCAACGTTTATGCAGACGAGGACACCAAATGACACTTTCAACTGTTTCTGACGGGTGGAGGTGTGATGCCCGACAGTGTCGGCAAGAAATCGGTCTTCGAAAGTGAACTTGGCTGGAGCGGTCTAGGATGGATTCCAGGACAATAATCCTATTCATTTATTGCTGGTCCAAAAATTTGACAACAATCAAATTCTGCTCAGAGGAGTTATCTATTGGCCACGCGACCGCTGTCGACTGGAAGAACTTTCTGCATGAAATTTGCGCCTGGCAGCTTTTGCAGACTCCAACGATTGTCGGCGGCCCAGGTCTACATGTCGAGATCGATGAAACACTAATATCACGTCGTAAAAACCATGCAGGGCGAGTCCTTCCCCAGCAGTGGTTTTCGGAGAGATTTGCTGGGAGACTAAAGAAGTGTTTTTGTATGCAGTGCCAGATCGAACTGCGACCACTCTGCTGGACACAATCCAGGCCTGCATCGCTCCCGGCTCAATTATCATTTCCGATATGTGGGCATCATACCAAGGCATTGAATCGATGATTGGCATGAGTTATATTCATCAAACGGTTAATCATACTGAAAAATTTGTAGATCCAACGACTGGAGCTCACACACAAACCATCGAATCTCTCTGGCCCATTTACAAGATGCAGAATAAGCGCCAATGCGGCACACACCGATCTTTAGTGGACAGCTACCTGTGTGAGTTCGTTTAAAGGCAAAGACACCGAAAAATGGACCATTTCATGCAAATTATTAATGACTTGTCTCAATTTCACCCTCTTCAATAGGGAGTAAAAGTTCAAGTTCCATGTCCTCCCCTTTCATAATCTTTTTTGGGTGGCGGGGCTTAACTTTTTGGCGGGGCTTAACTGGAAAAGATCCCTATCCTGTACTTTCTCTGATCTTCTGTTTATCATAAAGAGTCGGAATGTCTTTGCGTACACCTGAAACAATGACTCCAACCGATCCTGTAGTAATAAATTTAATGTGCGTTCAATTAATTAGATAGAATGGACAGGATACGTTGTCATTCGTTAGAACGACGGTGCTCAGTGACACTGAATTTAAGGAAGCGTTCCTCCAAATTAGTCATTGTTTCGTTAACTTGTAATATTCGATAATTTACTAAGTGGTATATGTTTGGATCCTATATGTGATGCTTGACATCAAGAATGAATTATCTACTACTGTTCTCATTAGTATCCATTAATGTTAAGGAGTAGAAACACAACAAAGCTACACTCACCGGCGTGATCTTTCGGCTTCATTCTGGAGCGTTTAACTTTTTTTGCTAACTAGTTCTACTTCTCTCACCTTTGTGATGTGATCGTCCGTTTACTTGCTACTACCAGCTACCTGAATTCCTGTATTATTCCGTTTTCTCTATTTCAGCTTTTCTGTGATATTCTGACTGATTTATCTAGGAAGAAAGCTTGCATCATCCATTCCGTTATGAATATGCATCCTGCAGACGAAAGTGATGATTCTTTTCAAGTCGAACCTTGGCTAGGTCTGCAATACAGAGCCAACAGTACGTCTGTGCAAAAAATATTAAATTTATGCACTTTTCTTTTGAGTTCTTAAAAGTATTCGACTCGCAAAACCACAGTGGGTAGCTACCTAATCTGTTGTCTTGCTTAACCGCATAAAAAACAGCAAGTATGAGTTATTCCTTCAAAAATCTCATGTAACCAGTTCCCTTGAGAAGTTTCAACAAAACACGAATAACCACCATTTCGCGAGATAGACTGAATGAAGTTTACTTCGTGTATTCTCAATAAGTCGCTTACAAACGTACAGTGGGAGGATTTAGTGAGTGCTTGGGATATGGAATCAATAACACAACTAATTGGAACCTGAAGCGCTCGGGTTCATCGCTTCTAGTGGCTGATCCTTTCCATGACAAGGCTAAGCTGGACACGAGGTCCACTTGCTTGCACAGGTTCGGTTTCAGCCGTCGGATTGCAGAAACCTCGGCAAACCGGAGCAGTGTTGGAGTGTTCTGGTTACTGACGATGTTGGACGAGTGACGGGGGTCTTTACACACACTGCAATTCAGTAGATATCAGACAATTGATTTGGCAGCAGCTTAGGGCTAGATTCCTTCGAGATGTAGCATGGCGCGATAGAACTTAAAAGGTTGGAATATCCATAGTTTTCGTGAACTGAGAACACTGCACAAAGAGGGGTTAATTGACGCAAAGACCATGCAGCAACTACTCCCTCGTAGCCCGAAACTTCCGCGCATGTACGGAGTACTGAAGGTTCACAAAGAAAGGATCCTACTTGGTCCCATTATCTCAGTGGCTGGTGCATCGCACCAGAAGCTACCACGATGATTAGCCCATGTAATTGAGCTTATCAGATCTGAGTTGGCCGTGTATACTTTGAAAGACATTTGAATTCGCTGAAAATATTCAGAATCTAAATGTGACTGACAAATGCATGGTATTTTCGATACATATTCACTGTTCACAAATGTCTCACTGGAGGAGACATTGAATATCATAGGTACACAGGCAAGCAAGGTGGGTTTTCCAACACATCGTGTAAAAGCAATACTCCGCATCTGCACTAAGGATGTTCAATTTAACTTTGATGGTAGCCTCTACCGGCAAATCAAATTCGTAGCGATGGGCAGCACGCTTGGACCTGTTCCAGCCACTATCTTCATAGGCACAGTTCTATGCCCGGTATGCAGACGACACATTGGTCGTCGTTAATACTGCACAGAATGCAGAGAGCATGTTGGCGAATTAAACCAATGTCATCCCTGAAACCAATTTCACCATGGAAATAGAGCCGGGGGAGATGGTTCACTTTTAGGGTTTTCCTTAAAGGCGGGACCGGGAGGATTGCTAATACGGTAGATTTGTCATAAACCCAGCTGGGCAGAGAAGTAACTAAACTTTAACACTTACTGTCCGATGAACTATAAGCGATCCCTTATTCGCACCCGCTTCACAAGAGCGCGCCGAAGCTGTTCTGAAGAGTCAGTCACGAGTGAATCGCAGCGCATTGCATCAACACCACGCGAAAATGAGTACTCTAGTAACTTTATAGCAATATATGGAGAGGAAAATCTCTGAAGAAGGAGGCATTCCTCACCCTACCTTTCAAGGGTGAGCAAACTGAAAAGTGGTTCCACTACCGGTTACAGCATTCCATAAATGGGCGTCGTTACGCAGCTGAGCTAGTGCTACTGCACCAAACCAGAAAGTTGCTCCACCAATCCAACCTAGATAAATCTTTCCCTCAAGTCACCGGCTCCTGTGTCTATCACGTTAACTGTACGTGCGGTAGCATGTACATTGGTCGGACTAAGATAAGGTTATCTACAAGGATTATGAGGCATGTTCCGCGAGGCCTAAGGATGAGCGTCCCCAAGCTACCTGCCAGCTCAATTGTCTGATATCTACTGGATTACAGTGTGTATCAAGACCCCTCTCACTCGTCCAGCATCGTCATTAAGCAGAACAGTCCAACACTGCTCCGGTTTGTCGAGGTTTCTGCAATCCGACGGCTGAAACCGAACCTGTGCAAGCAAGGGGACCTCTTATCCAGCCTAGCCTTGTCATGGAAAGGATCAGCCAATAGAAGCAATGCACCTGAACGCCTAAGGTTCCAATTAGTTGTCTTATTGATTCCATGTCACATGCACACACTAAATCCTCCCACTGTACGTTTGTAAGCGACTTATTGAGAATGCACGAAACAAAGTTCATTCAGTCTATCTCGCGAAATGGTGGTTATTCTTGCTTTTTTGAAATAAGGAGTTACACAGAAACCTAAAAAGACCTTATTTTGTTGCTCGTAGCCGAGGTTAGAAGTGCAAAGGACACTTAATTTACAAGGATACCACTTAACTAAAAGAAGAACCTAGCCTTTTCGTACACATCGCGTACAGCGGGTATCCTCATTGATTATGGCTGCAAGTTCACCCATCAAGGAAGCATGATGGCGCTTCCCTGACTTGACTTGAATTGAATCACTGTCACGTATTTCTCTTTTAAGCCAAATGTACTTCTATACATAATTAGCTTTATTACTCCTGCTGAGCAAGCTCTGTTACGCATGTATCTATATAGAGAGCTCAAACCGAGGATTTTATATAGGAATGCCTTGCAATGTTTTTGGATGTTTACCTTTTGCAGTCATGGCTGAAGATGCGCATATCTTGTCAAAGTGACCTTCTCCATCGCATTTCTTGCCCTTAGGTAATTATCTACTAAAATGCATTTTACTTTTTTGCCCAGATTTGTGCATAAGGCGAAAGATGACTTGTGCTAAAGCACGTCTTTGTGGAAGTATTAATAGACGATAAGCCAAATAGTGCGCAAGCTTCGGCAACGTTTCCATTCCAAGGTGTTGGGCAAATACCATATGACCTTGATATTTTCTCTGTAACGTAGTTTCTGTGGTGATATTGAGTGTAAACCTCTTCCTTTATTAAACCAAAGATGACATCTACGATAAAATCAATTGGAGATGTCTTCAATCCGACCCACTGGTTACCTTCTCGCTTCCCGCCCGGAACCGCTGCATAGGTGAGTTTGGGGTACAAATGACATTAAACAGCCTTTAGAACAATAATAACGATATGAATACATTGTGTATTTTCGGTCCGTTGCAGTGCATATCTGATGAGGTACGAACAGCAATTTGAATACTCTAACGCTTTTTGCCTGCGTTATTGAATCTTTTGTTTTGTGAAAATTTTTTCTGTTGATCCTCGCGACCGAACACTCGCTGAAATCCACTTTTAAATTATTAAGGTAGAACGACCATGCAATCCATTCGTTACCACTGTTGCCGTATCACTGTTTTATTTGTTAATCAGTTCTTGCAGTGGTAGTCTTGCTATTAGCTGAGCTCGGCAGTTTGGCTCAAAAATTATAACTAAACTCCTGCTACTCCAGTGTAATAAAAAGACCAATAGCCTCTCCTAGTTTCAAATGCTATGGATATAGTGGCTAGCGAGAGGACTTCATCACCTCTCAGGCTAACCACTGTCAGTGACACTGGAAAATTGGTGGTGCTATATCCCAGTTAGTTTGCAAATTATGTAGCCCACCCAACGTCCCCACGGCTCAGTGGCTTTAGCTGCTGGCTGGTTGGCAGCTGCCTCTAGAGGTCATGGGTTCGATCTCCATTAGGGGATCGATGGAATGCGCACCACTGACGATCCCCGATAAGGCGAAACGCATCTGGTACTATGTAGCTTGTGAACTACTGGGATGAATACCACAAAAATTACAACTAAAATCCTGCTACGCGAGTGTAATATAAAATAAATAGCCCCTCCTAGTTTCAAACGCTATGGATATAGCGTCTAGCGAGAGAACGTTATCACTTCTCAGGCTAGCCACTGGCAGTGACAGTGGAAGATGGGGGGTGCCGAAACGCGTCTGGTGCTTATCTGTTCTAGGCTGTGCTATATAGCTTATGAACTACTGAGATGAATGCTTCAAAAATTATTTGAATCGCCCTCAAATATTGATAAAATGAACCTCACGAAGTGCAATGTACTGATAGACTCCATTTCGAACGAAGTACACAAACGAGTACGCTGTCCACACAATGCGGTGGTTTCTAATGTGCCAGACAAGATACCATTAAAAACTGTTAAGGTGTGCTTCTTACTGCATGCAGTATGCAGTCTTGTTGGTTCAGCTGCATCAGACTACGCGTTACGGGTGTCCCATACTTTTCCAGTTTCAAAGTAAACTTATTGCTAAACAATTCAATTAAAAGCTCAATCTCATTGTGTTTAATACGACTTTCAAACGCCTGAAGATTATGGAGGAAAATACCCGATAAGAAGGCGAAAGTCTGATGTAAACCAGAATACCAAACAGTCATCTGGTGTCCCACATCCAGTTGATATTGCCCCACTTAGTGGCCACCACAAATTTGAGAATAATATTCTGCTTGCTTCAAATAGGGGCGGGGCAATGAATATTGAAGTGGTATTTGAAATTAACATGGTATCACTTGAATATGCGGGCTGCTCTATTACATTAGTTGCTGAGTCCGGTAGAACAATTGATTCTCGCATTTCGGAGTTAAGAACAACGTCAGATGCAAAGTCGGTTACTGGAGGACCTGCACCAGGTTGCAGATTCACGGCTAAACATGATAAGCCGACTATGCCCAAAACGACTACAATCCACAAAACTAGTGATGTGAATGGTGCTTCCTCTTGGATAATCAGTTCTGCGTCATATAGGGTTTCCTAATGCTGTTTCCTGCATGCGAAGTGACAACAATATGGATCAGCGAATAATAACTGCATTACTTGCTAAATCCCAATTGCATGCTAAACCAATACTTCAAGCCTCAAACTGTCATGTATCGCCTAAAGTCTGCTCTGGCCAGTGTACAAACGCATCGACAATATCGATGGATCCAGTCAAAGTGATCAAAAGTAAAAGGACGGTAGACCTAGATTTATCGCAAGCGTCATGGGGCGACTTTTTACCCGCATTTTATTTGGATAGACTTACATCTATTGATCACAAAGTTATGGAAGACGTGCCACCATCTTTGCACCTTATACACGGTATAATTGGGTACCACGACTTTCCGATTCCATCAACGAAGCACACGGATTATGCTGATGGTGGTGTATGGATAAACACCAGTTAGACTCCACCGCGTATAGTGAAGCCCTGTATATCGAGCGCAAGTAAGTGGATTTTACCCATGGATGCAAATGACGGCCACCCACTGACACCTATCAATGCATTACGTAATCAACAGCCTATTAGTTACCTGATGCAGAGGACACAAGTTAACTCTCCAGGTCCCACAAGCTATTGCAACAAGCATGGACTCTTTTCCGCGAACCATTTTCCAGAGAGCCATACTCAGTCTCAACCCCTCCGCTGAAGCCACCTCCAAATCATTTTCCCCTGTTGGCAATACACGCACTTTCCAATAGTTTCTAGCCTGGGTCCAAGCACACGGCTTGAAACCTCGGTCTTTATAACACAGCCTAAACAATATTCCTCGTATCTCATATCCATCTCAGTGTTTTTGATAAACATTCGTTCTCTTCAATCTAAGATCCCCAACAACGCTAATTTGTTTTGGGGAATAATACTACTAAATCTTGGTGCCATGCTGATATGTCTGACAATCAGTTAACTATTTTCGAATATGACAAGTTTATGAGAAATCGGACTAGTCATCGACGTGGTAGCTGTGTAATTTGTATGAACAATTCGCTCGCAGCAGCAACGTTCGAGAACCCAGTGCTGAACGATATCCAGGAATCATTATGGCTTACGATATACGTTAATCAGCAGTAGCTACTTAGCCAATGTATATACAGCGCGCGAATCTGCAGCCTAGAAGTCCTAGAACTTTTGACGTTGCATTTGAACGCACCGCTAGCCTATCATTTATACATAAGGTTATTGGCAAGCATTTCAATCTGTCTTTGTTTTTATGGCCCATGGGAAGGGCTCCTTTGAAATGCAAAAAGCGTATCTCATGTATCCAAATGAATTGGCTGCCAGTCAGACGTCTCCCAACTTACCAGAGGTGAAAGTACTCTGGAACTCAGTTTTTCATTGTTAACGTTCTTGATGAATTTCCGAGGAGCGATCATCGCGTGTTCAAATGCCGCCTAAGACTACGCATGGCTGATGTATGGAACACAATGCATTATCGTCTGTTCAGTTCCGTCAACTGGAACTCTTTCAAGGACCTGGTTCGTTCGAAGAATTGGGATAACTTCTTTCTCTCTTGATGCCCTCAACATGCGACGGAACTGTTTTATAGTATACTTGGCTTTTGCATCCATACAACAGTACCAGTAAAAGGTGCATACCAAACTAATCATACATCCCATCGCAAGATGTTGAAGGCAGCACGAAGGCTTCATAAGATTCGGCAGAAATTCAGGCTAACTCCTGATTTTGCGCTGTTATTGTGGCAGTCCAAACTCATCGAAGAATAGAGGCGTCAGTATGATACAACTTATATTCTAGAAGCGTAAAAGGTTCTGAACGGTCCTAGCAAAACTGCTAAGCTAACGAAATTATTCCGTGCCTTGGGTTCGCGTTGCAGCAATAATTTCAATTTAATCACCATGGCTGATAGAACATACTACGACGCACCAGGTGATTTCTGCGAAGTTTTGAGTGCTTATTTTGCCGAATCAATGGTCATTGAATCATCAGACACACCAACACTTATCATGCCGCAAAACAATGAAAGTCTATGTACAGTGGAATTTATTATAGCAAAAATCACAGGTCAAGTCTCACGCTTATGCTCCTCAACTTGCATAGGCTCTGATGGGATTCCCCCTTGTTTAATACAAAGCAGTGGTAGTGACTTCATCCTGTTTTTGCTCAAGATTTTTACACTCCCTTTTAATAACGGAGTATAACCTACTCGATGGAAAACTGCTGTCGTTATCCGGCGACACAAAAATGGCTCCGCACACAAGGTTAAAATGTTTCGTCCCATCAAACAGACACCTATGGTATCTAGAATAATGGAAATGATAGTTAAAGATGAACTATTTGTATTCTTGAACAAGGCTAACATAATCATCAATTCGCAACATGGCTTCATGTAAGGTAAAGCCTGCGCATCATGCCAGACAGACTTTTTAAACCACACAACGGCTGCCATAAACAACGGAAACAGTGTTGGAATCCTGTTCCTGGGTATGTAAAAAGCCTTTGATGGAGTGCCTCACCGAAGGTTACTGAAAATACTGAAGGCTATGGGCATTGGAGAACCGATGTTTTCTTGGCTATCTTCATATCTTATTGGTAGACGGCAGATGGTGCGCATCGGCGACCATTTCTCTAAACCGAAAGTAATCATAAGCGGAGTGATTCAAGGCAGTGTTCTTGGTTGTTTACTCTTTCTACCATATATTAACGATATATTCCAGACAATAAGTAATAGTGTTCCATTTATCTTTGCTGATGACATTAAAGTTGTCTACTCACCACCACTTGCAAACACCCAGGAAGCCATGCGTCTCATTCAGGATCACATACTTGCTCTTGACTTCTGGTGCCAACTATGGCAGATGTTATTTGCCGTGGACAAGTGTAATATTTTGTCGTACACATGCCAAGTACCGCCAGACAGTTTATTACTACAAGGCGCATCTATCTCGCAATGCAGAGCAGTTCGCTATTTGGGCTGCCATAATTGGTCACGTTTAACTTTTCTGAACGTTGTGACTTTCAAGTTTCGAAAGCCATAAAGACCGTCGGTTACATCTGCCATCCTTTATACCTCACGGAATCTCGCATATTGCTTTAAAAAACAATTTTATTGCCGTGTATGGAATACTGTTCAGTGGTCTAGTCTTATCTCCGGAAATCTGACCAGTATGCTCTTGAGAGAGTCCAGAGAGGCTTCATGAAAAAGCTATATGGATATTCCTCAAGGCTGACATACAGAGAGCGATGTGATAAACTTGTGTTTGATCCAGTTTGACTTAGGAGAATGAATCTGATCCTATGTTTTCTTTACAGAATCATAAACTGTCAAATTCGCAGTCTTGTTAACCGTGTTCATATGTCTTTAAACAGCGGATATCCAATCCGTAACAGAGATAAAGGTCATGATTGTAAAACTTACTACGAGAATCAGAAAACGTTTCTTTCTAACCCACTACTCAAAGCATTGGAACATACTTCCAAGTGATATCAGAGCATGCTATACACTTTTCAATTTTAAGCTTGCGATTAGTAAGCACTTAACCATGCAAAACGTGATTAATATGTTCGGGACACCACAGTCCCTAGCTAGTACTTTCGAAAACGGTATGGATGGTGTCTGCATAAACTTTCGAAACACATGCACATAACAATTCGGACAACAGTCCCCTGCATTTCATTTCATTTTTCTCGGCTCAAACATCTGACATGTGATTGTGAAGGATCCTGGTTCAATTAGTGTGAAAAATATAGCAGAACGATTCTGATTATTTTGTGTTACCTAATTTAAAATTTCGTCCATGTTTCTTTCTGAAAACGTATTAAGCCAATGTCATAGAATGCTTGTGCCATTATTCGATCTGTTCTTTCTAAGGAACAGCTTCTCGCATCATCGAGGAATATACAATTTATTTTTTATTTACTTGATCTGTGTGGGTCATTTTTCAATATACACATTTTTGAAATTTGAGTTAGTGTTTTTATGTGAATGGCTTATCCTTCTGGAGTTTAATGGTAAAGCTGATATCCTGGAATGTGTTGGTGAGCAGCTCATGCGTATTTTGTATGGAAACACGCTTTTGATGACAAACCTGTCGTCCACGTACCGGGTTCATGCTTATGATAACATCAACGGTAGTGTGGTACGCTCTGGTTTCTACATCACACTTTCTACCGTAAGTCCTGATATTGACAATCTCACGAGCGTTCCTTTCAGTTGCTACTATACTTTCCTATCAATGTAAAATAAGTGGGCATGCAAAGATGCAGGAATTCCCATACACCCATTTGTTTGAAGTTGCCTCTAATGATCGGTTGATTCCGAAGCAGTCCCATCATGCTTTGTTCAGATCTGGATATTAAATGTTTTAATTTCATCCGCTTCCACTTTGCTACTTCGTACCATTGGATTCATGGCAACGAGACGCTTGGGCGCAATGATACTCCGTCTTTATGTACTTTTGGCAGTCCGTGGTATCTTGCAGTGTTTGTATCAGCAGGTTTCCTCTTCAATCGTTGCTGTTTGGTAATTTCACCTGTTACCTGTTGTTTCCTCACTGCGGTGATAATGTGAGTATCCAATTTCGAACTGAGGTCCTGATCAGCAGGGTGATGTGTGGCCGTGTCGGAAAGTAGCTATTTGAAGTTTGAAACTTAGTCTAATGTCTCCATTATTAGTGTCATGATTCCTTTGTCTGTTTATGGAAGTACCATATTGTCTTTTTCCGTAGCCTATTGAGTGCTTTCCGTTCTTCCTTCACAAGCGTATGTATTAGCTTGTTGCAGAGTAAAAGTGCTTTATTTGAGTACTGAAATAAAAGCGAAAGCAGAAGTGAGAAGGCAGGTAAAAATAAGCGACTGAATAACAATCCATATAGCAAAAGTAGTTAGGTGTAAAATTCTTGACCTATCACTGTAGAACTCAGAAAAGATTAGTGTCTGTAGGTGTGCGATTCTTCATCCACCAGCGCCTTTGAAAAGCAATCAGTTCACTCCAATGAATGTTTTAAAAGTTGTGATAGTTCCCTTCAGTTCCGTAGTAAGTACTTTCTTTTTACTTTCATTTAAGTTGAAGCTTTCAACAAACTTCCATGTTCGAACGAAATCAAGGTGAGTTTTAAATATTTGGTTGCACTGTGTACAGGCATACGTCGCTTAATGCTAGTCACTCACTGATTGATGCAGAGCCACTTTAATCCGTTGTTACTCAGTATGACAATTTGTCGCAATACATATTCAGTTCTTTCCGGAAAGCTACAGAGCTGCTATATTCTATAGGTGCACATTGTATAACTTTTGCAATAGAGTTTTAGCAAGTATCACCAATAATTCGTATACCTTAAGCAAAGCATGCTATTTAGTGGCTCGTTTGCTCCATTTTCGCACCCTTATATACCAGTCAAAATATATTATACAGTTAAAAAGGCTAAGTTTATTTACAGCTCCCTGCTAATCGAGTAGATTAGAAGCAAAATGTTTATTTTTGTTGCACTTCCTTAGCTGCCGGAGGATTTGAATGCCAAGCCAGAGAGAATGGCATACCGCGATTATGGTGCCATGTGGTTCCAGTCAATCGTTCGATTCCATAGACCAACAGGTATGTAAGCCATTCTGTTCTGTCGGACAAAAGTAATAAATTTCAAAACAGCAAATAAACCGTAGATCGCTAACGAAAGCTAACATTTTTGAAATCTGGCTATTTCATATAATCAGAAATTCATCAAGTCTGGACTCAGTTAGGTACCGATCACACGACCGGAAAAGTTCGTCGCTTGCTGATGAGGCTACCCTGTCCTCTGCACTGCAGGGACAAGCAAGTCGGTGAGCAGCGCCATGTCACATTTAATAACTTGGTCACGACGTTAGTTGCCTATCTCCGTTGCTCAGTATTCTCAACTATAGATTGGCCACAGTCAAGTTGGCGGGTTCGAGCCCTACAACGGTTAGATGGAATGCGCACTGTTGACGATTTCATGATTCCCTCAAAACTATTACCTGATGGGCTCGCTCACTGAGGGAAGTATCCCATCAAATGTAAAAAAGCGGCTTCTTTCATATGCAGTATGTTGATGACTTGTATCCACTAGCTTCGCACTATAAGGATTTTAGTTCTCTTATGATGGCTTACTAAGTAGAGACAATTTTTCTGTACGTTTACCATCATTGTCCAAATAAAGGGAAGCTAATCGAGATCCACTAACGCACTTTGAGTTTCAGTGACAAGTGATTGGGTACATTACACCGGGGGAAATTTTGCAAAGCATTGAAGTAAATGATTAGAAGCATACAAGAGTGTCGGTTACTACGCGATAACTGGCTCCATCAGCTACGCAAAGGGAAGCAAAATAATGTTTTTACTTTTACTGATATTATGGTAATATTACTAAGGTATACTATATTAAGGAGGTGCCACTGAACGGGAAACGAGTAGCGTAAATGCTTAATGCGCAGCAATATATATATATATATATATATATACATATATATATAAGGACTTCCAAATTGCCCACAAATTTTAGCAAGATAAGCAAAGCAGCATGATAATTCACAGCATTATATTATCACCTATTGAGAGTTAATGAAACCGGGTACCAAAATCCCCTGATCATGGTTAAACATGCAATTTGACTGGTGCATCAGCCCCATATATCAGATAAATTTGATTCAACTTTTTATTCAATGTATTGCAGATTGTTTTAGAGTCCATTTGATATATCGATGACTAAGTTATATTTGGACAATCAGCTTCGTCAACTAGTGTTTTTGCTAAATGCGTACTAGTCAACGGTCATCCCTGAAATTTTCAAAAGTGCTTGTTGGACTAGATTGTTAGGGTTTAGATGCAAACACAGAAGTTCTCCCGGATTTGATGTATTTATAGCCTATTCCCTAAGCCGATATGTCAACAAAATGATAAAAATTTATGTAACGAGAATCTCACCAGATTTGTTTTATTGCAGCGGTATTCTACGCGCGGTTTTCCTCTGGTGCATCCTTAGAATCACTGAAGAGGTAATTCAACATTTTCTTCAAAAGAACCCAAATTTTTTTTCTTGCTGCATTGGTTTCTGTGCATTATCGGGCAACTTTCTTGATCTCAATCTAGAATGTTAACATTTCAGCTTACAGTTTGTGTTTCTCTAGCTTTGACAGTAGTGTTTTTCCTCATCTACGATCCTGTGCCATCCGCTGTATGTTCTCTCTAAATTTGGACGTTACACATAATTCGCATCATTTTGTTGCACACGGCCATTGTAATCACATGAACATAAACGCAAGTCCTAACTTGCCTTGAATTTCCATTTACCGTCACCAAATTTATTTGCTCTATAGGAAACGAACATAACCTTATCAATAGCCAAATGGTCACTGTTAATGTAGTTAGCAATCTAAACTTTAATGTACATACCTACTGTTAGTGGACGTCGTGTTGTTCGGGGCCAACCCTGTCCTCTGCAACGTTCGTAACTTGCATGACAGTGGAGGATAAGACGCGCTAAATCGCAGTTAGCTTGTAAATTATGACGGACCGAAGCTGTACCCCGTGGCCCAGTGGCATAAGCTACTGACTGGCGGTTCAAGCCGCTTGTGGTCATGGGTTCGAATCCTGATGGATCCGATGGATGCGCACTACTGACGATGCCCAACAGGCTGGAACTGCAGTCCAGTGCTTTTCCGGGCATGTAGATGACTATCTGATTTGCAAACTGGCTGCGATGAACCTCACTTAATTACATCAAAATCCCCTACTCATGAGTACATTAAACGTTAGCTTTCCGTCACAACTTTCGGATGGAATGCATGCGACATGTTTGTGTTACCGTATCTACGCCAACTGGCCTAAACCAAGTTGACGGTGAGTGACATGCTATCGATTTAATTCTCTTACTTTGGCTGCATTTTGTGGGCGCATGTGTAATTCCCTATTCTTCATTAGTTCAGCAATGTAATCTTTTCGTTTCAATTACTCCAAGGGCTAATCAACATTCACTACAGTAAACAGTGACATCTGTACAGTGTGCGTGGTTTTTGAAGACAATAAATCTAAACGCCGAAGGAGTATTCGCGGGAGTTTCATATGTTTACCTCTCAAAGTTCGTAGGCGCCAAAAATATGTATGCTTGAGTATCAGTGGAAGTGGATCTTGCTAGTGAACTTCAAGTACTAATATTTAATTTATGCTTTTCCGCCTCACCTCCGATTATTTCTAGTAAACTATCTATATAAAATAATGAACTATGAATTCAAGAATTTCGCCACGTAAAGTTTCTTGCTTAACTTTTTCAGTTCATGCCTTTTACTTCTTTACGTCGAAGACGTGCGACGTAATCTAGAGCGCATAAATGAGCGATTAAAAAGTGAAGATATGCAGTAAGTCTGCAATGTTACTCATTATATGTCCGTTTCCCATATAATTATCCTAATAGTTATACGGCCTGACATAAATATATTGGTTTCCCATCACAGCAAATTTGATAATAGTACTGATAGCCAATTCAGCAAGTAAAAAGCATGGCATTTTGAAAGTTTATTTCGGTTGTCATTGGCACCTTACACTTGATGGAATTTAACTTCTATACAGGTCTTTGGTGGGACACGCTACTCCTTTCGGTACTATTTGTTTCTACTGACCTTAAAGCTTCCTTTTTACAGAATTAAGTTAGTCCAAATTATTTTCAATGTAGATGCTCAGTTAATATGATACATCATGCCAGAACATAAATAAAGCTCTCTTGAGCAATGACATAACCATCCGCACAATTTACCCTTACCTCGTTGCAAGATACTCAGTTGAAGCTATCGATAACGTCATAGAACTCAGAGTCAGTGGATCAAGTGAACACATAAGGGTAAGCATTTCGGTTCGCTGAGCAATTTTACCGATATACGGTTGGCCAAACGTCCTTTTTGCCTGAAATATCATCTTATGCTCTGAAGCGGTTTACTTACTCGATCTATAACAGCTTATGTTATCGCAACGAAAGCTAGTACAATGTTGTGGTTATTTACACAGCTGTTACTACGAGTTACTATTCGAAACATGGGATGCCTCAAGGTTAATTATTGCCATAAGCCTAGTTTCATCCTTGTGGATTATCCGGGCAATAAAATATCTTTAAAGACAATCTCATTTGCGACTGAGCATGTATTTTCCACGACATACATTTTCTAAATAGGCCCAACATTCAAGTGTTGACTAGTAATTGAAGATGACGATCTTAAACCGTGTTGTGACAAAGCACCGATGCAGCATTAAGCAACCGCCGGTTTCGACTAAGTGCAGATAAAGCAGACGCGTGGTCACTTGCCGAAGTCAGAAGTAATTGATACGTTTGTTTAGCGCAGTTAAGTTCCATCAATTGAAATAACCTGCCTAATAGTTAACATGCTCCGTTACTAAATGTATGTGTAAAAAGCCTCATTCTACAGCAGATGGTCGATAAACAACTAAGTAATGTGTTCTTCTGCTTCCCTGGGTATATCCGGCGATGACTTTCAAGGGTGCGTTCGATGCTGTATGTAGAGCATGCTATGGGAATTCAATTCTTTAGTGTTTTTATTACGTTGTCGACTAATTTGAAGTGAACTGATCAATGTATGGCACACACATGTCAAAACCGGACTTGAGCTGGGGTGTCATTTTGCAGACGGTTAAAGCAAACACTTAGTGAGTAGCTTCAACATTATCCAGACAACAAAAGGTAAAATAGTTCTGTACTCAAAATGGAAACCAGCATCAAGCAAGGCTGAACAAAGACAGCGGTCGAATGTCACGCAACAAGTCGACTAGCCAACTATGTTAATTTTAATCAGATGCCATATAAAGCGAAGAAATTTATCTATTTATCAATTTATAGTGTACGTGGGTGACGAGGGGTAAATTCACGGGCGCGGAATTACACGAGGTTATGAATGATCATTAAATATCTAGTTCGAACTGTGAGAGTATGTTGGGGAATAGCGGTCTACAGTACACATAGCGTTGGGCATTTACTAAGCGGCAACGAGGGGGTTGGTAGGGATATGCGGTAAATTTGTGTAGTTGCCTAAACTAAGGTTTGGTCCACGATCTCAAGCTGAACTAAGGAATGGAATAACCATATTACTGAACAGGCAAAACGTCAGTAATGTATTATTCAGATCTTAGTTTACATGACACCTAGAGGTGAACATTTCTCACATTAATCATTACATGTGCACACTATTCAAAGACGTTGGTTAAGGGCTTGCAGAGTGTGTTACAATGCCTATTAATTAAGCATGTCCAAGTCAGACTTCCAATAGGTTAATGCACAGATGAAACACGCAAATAACATGGGTTGCCCCCAGCTGTGTAGTTCGTGTGCAACAAATACTACATCACTATAATGGATTTCTCTTCAATGAAAACGTTTCAGACTTAACGAGAACAAAATATATGCATGTTGTATATTTTCGTTAAACTTTTGCTAGTTCTGAAATTAAGATCACGTAAAATCAATATGCTTAAGAATTATGCTCCGCGTTGCTTCCCATCATCTGTAAAGCTCTAGTTAACAAACGACATTAAATAAATAAATAAATAAACGTTTTATTCCTCAACAGTGCGAGGCACAGACCAATTGGGAGTTCTTATCGACATGTACAACGTGATCGCATAATATAGTTAATTTTACGTCTTTTGTTCAATGGTTCCCATACGGGTTTTTGAAGTGATTAACAGGTTGAAAATAGTACAGCGATTAAGAAACTGGGAACAATGGTAAATATAGATTTCACGGAAAGTTCAAGTAAAGTAATACGGTTATCCATGGAACTGTCCCCAGGGGACTTGCTTCCATGCAGGGTATTCCCACGATGGGTTCCACCCGCACTTCCATGCTCCAATTGGCTCTGTGCCGATGTGGCAAAATAGTAATTAGGCCATCAGAATTGGGTATCAGATGACTTTTTAGGACTATTTTATGCATACATTATAGGCGATGAAGCCTCAGCCCGTTCTGTCATGCGGATCAATCAAGTATGGCACTTTTTGGTTTTAAGCCAGCGAGTCAGTAGTAATATGATTTGGGTGGGTTAACTTTTTATTTTGGAACCTGTAATCCGTCACCACAAGGGATCAGCCCAGTCATGACCAACAGTGAAACAAAGAAGAAGATGAAGTATGAGGAATTATAAAACATAATAATGAATACAAACGCTTGCCGATAGGCCAATCACACTTTGATGGAAAATCTTAGTGAGTGATGATGGTACAGAGACATCAGCTTGAAAGGCGTAGTACATCTACTCACCAGTGTGTAAAAGGAGAAAACAGAATTGGTTAGACGGATTGATGGGAGTAAGATTGTTTACAACTACATACTCAAGAATTCAACTATATGTAGGTAACCTTATAATATTGAAACGAATAGAGGATATGGTGACTTTCATATGTATCCAGGACATTTCTCATACAAATCATTTAGAGTCACCGTTTGGCTTAGTGTTGAGCAGATACTTGCAACAGTCAGGTGAATTATTAATCAGGCGTCTGAATTGCAGATAGGTAGTGCAGTTTCTAATACTCGATGGAAGTTTGTTCCAAATTAACCCATATTTTACAGAGAAAAAATTTGAACGGAGCTTTGTGCGAGACTTTTGTATTTTCACCGTGCGCTCGCTGTTTCTTAGTTCATAGCACATGAGTCTGAAACTCGAGTTGTGGCTGAGCAGTGGTATCTGAAGTGCTATTTGTAACCTTTAATCTTGTTTTTCACTCAAGGACGCAATTAGATACTCGCACTTATTTTTGCAAAAAGTGAGGCCTGTTTTCATGTGATAACACTTGTATGTGTGCGCCTCACTCATATTTCAGGATTACTACAACACAATTTTATCAACTGCGTTTAAATGGTCTACTAATATGGAACCAATGGAGTTTGAAGAGTTGCGCGGTAAAATCAGGACGCGTCTGCAATCCGCCATTCACGATCTTGCCCATTATTCACAGTAAGCTCCTTGGCTTCACGTATCTGATAGTTAACTATTACTTTGTAACTTGGGCTCAAGAACTGTGCTCAGAATAATGGGCAGAGCCGAGAAGCATTCCATACCGCCCTGAGGTTTTGTACAGCCATTACTGAAGTAAAGCACAGCGATAAGCCAAGTATTTCATTCACATCGTTTGGGTTAACTTAGGTCTAGTATCTAACTGTGGTACTAAGTTATGCTTCATTTTTGACCCATCATTTAAGAGGAATTTTCGAGAAAGCGATAAGGTTACTTTCTATGCCTCTCTACCAAGAGCCTCTTCTGTCTCTCCTGAGCTGATCCATTGCTCTGTCAATGTCTGTATTCCTCCACGTTGGACGTAGTGCTCCTGTGTGATTTTATCCCATCTTCTGGGCAATCAGTTTAAACAAATTGTTAGCTCGTTAAGACAATTACCCCATTATATCGAATTTCAAATGCTTACTTTTGTCAACACACTTCTGTCGACACACACCAATTCTTGTAAAAACTGAGATACAAGGTACTGGCCAAAACAAGTCATCTCCTTCATAATGCTCTATCTGAATCCCTGTCAAATTAGTCTATTTGGAAGAAGTACAAGTTGATATGTGCTTACACACTAGCCTACCACTCGTTTATCATCCTTTAAATTCCGCGTTATCGCGCGAGACCCCAAATCTGTTGTTCTAGACCTAATCAGCCGGTTCGCAGTATGATGCTTTTCTTGTGTTTTCTTTCCCAAACTACTTTTAATGGCCCTGTTACTTGACTGATTTATATTTTGCTACATTGCTGAGATCGTGGTTGTTGTGGCTGAATATTCGACCACCAAGGGTGCGAATGGTAATTACCTGGTTTGACTTGAATAGGGGTGAAGATAAAATTGTTATACACTTGTGGAAGCACCTTTGACAATCCACACCAACAGTACAGATATACTATGACATATCATCCGTATTAAAATAAAAAGTGCCAAGGAAAACAAAAGGAATCATTTTCAAGAAAGCAGAAGGTCTGGCACTTGATGCATCCATATTTTTGGGTAAACTAAAAGGGAGACAGGTAAGGCAAATGCAAATTGCAGTACGATGCGATACGAGTAAATAAAACATTATATTTCGGTCGCGTAGAAGAAACAGATACCAACTAGAGCAGTGTGTATGCTACGAGAATGGTCGTTTAGAATCCTGGATGCGTAGTTTAAGCGTGCATCAAGCTGCACAATAACGACGAAATCTGCGAGGTACTCTTGACTCAAAGCACTGAAAAAGCGCATAATACCCAAAAACTAAAGTGGAAGGCTATAATCATGACAGTTAGTCAGGCAAACATCAGGATTAAGACATGTAGTAGCGAGAGAAAAACAACGCAAGCAGAGGAATGGCCAGCTAGGATGAACAAGTGGCTTTTGTGTAAAATGGTTTAGTACTACTTGTATTTTTTTTCTTTTGGCTTTCTGATTTAGGTATTTAAAACTTCGTAACCAGAAAATGGGCAAAATATAAAATCTTTACAGACCTAAACACATTTTTACTGCACGTACTTGAGAAAGGGAATACGTATATGAACTCTGGACCACGGCGGTTGGTCGTGAGATGCGACAAGTTTGTTTTTACTGAGGAGTCGGGACGGTTGTAAACAGTTAAGTAACTTAAGCCCCTGGTTCCGCAACGGTATATGTTTAAAACATGACGCTGTCAGCTGCGACAACGCGATGCATTACGAGACGATGAAAGCGATGTTGCTTCCTCCAGTAGAGCTGACTTTATGTTGTCGGTGGCAAAGTCTTCGTGCCAGCCACTGCGGTTGATTGTAAACGTGTTGCTTGTACGGCTCGTCACTCCTAAACACCCGATTTACGGCGACTGCTATGTTTATCGAGCAACGCCTAAGCGTTTCGGAATACTGGTAGCTCGGGTTGACGATTTGGCTGTACAACGCTACAAAACGTTTTGAAGCTAAGGCTACGCGTATCCCACCGGAATATTCAAACAAAAACCAAGTTCAGACCTGAGTTAACGGTGCTATTTTTATAAATTAATGTATCAAAGAGACATTAGCTTGCCGATTTTCAAACCCAAAAGTGTGCCAACAATTCGCGCTTAGATTCACGAGCGACCCGGGAATTTAGGCGTGCGAAAGGACACAGTGGAATCAAAGTGAGACACACACGGCTTATGGTAAGAATCCAAATGAGACAATGGTAATACTTATGCCTCCACCAATAAAACGTACTACGGCAAATTCTGCTACATCTAACTGTACAAGCTGTGAAAGTTACACACATAGATCGAATCAAGGGAGACAGTGCCTTATCAATAAGGCTGAACATAGGAGTACTTGTGTGTAGGATTGAAAAAAAGATTAGATGTGGATGAACTGGAAATCGGACGCTAGTCCCCAAGTAATGGTGTCATGCTAGGTAGCGTTGGAACAGGAAATGGACAAGTAGACAGGCACATGGAGGATCCATGCCGGGCGATGAGGCTGACCAACGTAGAAGTAGGCATTTGATAGGGAAAAGTCTTGGGTGGTCGTAAATGCTTTCTACAAGCTGTTCATTTGTACTCTGAGCCTGACAGTTTAGCCTCAAACGTTTCACCCCTATGCGAGATGGTATCGTCCGTGCAGTGAGATGCGGCTCGCAATCTTACTATGTCACGATTGCGCGCCGCATCTCACTGCATAGCCGACAGCAGCTCACATGGTGGTGACAAATTTGCAACTAAACTGCCAAGCTCGGAGTACAAATGAACAGATGAAACGCCTAAGCGTAAATAAGTCAGCACTTTATTGCCCACATATATCATTGAGTACCACAACGGGGAGGCGGGCGGACATGTATCACGCATCCGGTTAGCTAACCGAATAGAATAACTTCTGTCGTCGAAGGAGGAAGTAGACCGCATTGGTTCTACCAGCTATTCGATTAAATGCAGTGGGCAGCCGTAGACTGGCTGAGCTGGTGTTGGATCAAAATCAGTTTAACATTGTTTTTAAACCTTGGGGAACGAGACGATGGGTTTCGTACATGAAAAGTCAGCATACGCTCGGTGCGCTGTCTTTAGTTGTTGGTGAAAGCTTTGAACTACTCAGTTAGTGGCCGGTTAACACAATGTTGTTTGGACGTGGAAACAACCTAAATCCTTAGGCAACATTACAAAAGTGGACAAGAAATGTGAACCACAGGTAGTGGTCACGATTGCGGGACAGCCGTACTACTCCATCCAACATTTTAAAATTCACTTTCAACCGCTTCCGAAGGGTGATTTGGAATGATAATCGCCGTCGACCACATAGGGAATTGGTTGATACAGGTCTGTGGGTATACTGAGCTTGCTGAAGGTGACTGAGGGCATACGATATCGACGTGCATGTAGCAAAAATATAGTCTTGCGTTGCGAACGTACTCAATGGGTTTCGCATGTTCCTTAACACATTCGCAAGTTGACGTGGAAAGCAAACATCTGCCCGATTGCAGTTATCGTGCTTGACGTTACACCAAACGAATCGTGCGTTTACGATCTTAACATTTGCACGAACGCCTGAGGGACATAAACCATGCAGTGTGTCGATCACGGCATGTTAAAACTCTCCTGGAACTACTGGATGCGGTATGTCCGCGAGTGTGTCACGATTAATAACTCCGTCTGATAACGCCGGCGAAATAATTTAGTGATAAACTCATGCTTAATAGATTTATCTAAGTTTATTTAGTTGTGCGGCGGCCGTGGAAATCAGGTGGACATCGCTCTTTGTGTCGACGAAGATGGCATAGACACGTGATCGTGTCGGCGGCCGCAATGTGTACACCTATGAGATGTTGTGTATCGGTCATGAACTGAGCGATATGGTCCAGATGATCTGAATACCCAGGAGGGTATCGATCGGTTGATGAACAAAGCATGTTGGTAAGCGATCTTTGATCGTGAGGTTCAAAAATCTGCGGCATTCTAATACTTTGAAATTGTAGTATGACGAGTTAGACGATCACTAGTTCTTTACCGCACCAGCTGTAACGAGGTTCCGCATGCCGCAAGCATTTAGAGAAACTCTTTACCAGCCGCCAAATGTCGTCCACCCATTGCTGCAAAACGGCGCCCACTGCCAAGTCGGAACCGTCGGTACTGATCTACAAGGGGCTGTATTGTCATGGTGCGCTACAAGAGCTACGTTAACGATCGCCCCTTTTAATACTCTGAACGCATGGCTTACTGTAGCAAGAAAATCTAATTTCTTGCGTTTCTATATCACAAGTTCTGTTGCTTACAGCACAAGATTAGGCATACTATGGCGGTTAAACAAGAAAAGTAAGCTGAAACGTCATAACTGCTTGGTGGAATGAGGCTCAGAGCAGGCGATTATGAAACTAAACTTTTTCTGCAGTAGCGCGACGCCTGCAGGGGCAACATGATGGCTAAGGAAACGGAACGAATCGACACCGAAAGAACTTTTTCTACGTTGATCTTCACATCATTTTTGTATACACGGTCTAAAAGTGTCCGCAAGTGGCGCAAGTGTCCTTCGCTTGAGACGCTTGCGACTAGGATGTCATCAAGGTATACATGGGCGAGGTCTAAGAAGCGATAAATCTCGTTGATGAAGCATTGAAATGTTTATGTAGCATTCTTAAAACCAAATGGTTTGTGCGACCCTCAAACAAAATAAACGGAGTAGTCCCGGCGGTTTTAGTGATGTCCGCCTCTATTACCGGAATCTGGTTGCATGTTCGAACAATGTGAATTATGCTGATCTGTCTTACTTGTTATACTGACTGTAAGATCGGTGAGGTAACAGTGCTCAAGAGGCAAATGCCATCACAAAGACGTCAGTCTTGCACGGCCTTCCTTTGGACCATGTGGAGAGGCAACGCTCATGGATCGTGGATATCCTGAATATACCGAACTGAAGCACGTGGTAGAATTCAGTTCTCTAGACACGTAGAACTTCTGGAGCGAGTTATCTTAGTTGGACACTAGCTTGCTAGCCCCGCGAGACTCCATGATAAGCGATCTCTTTCGTGCCTGGTTATAGCTCTGCAGTTGGTCGTACTAGTCACGCGCATTCGGAGACCAGATTTGCGTCGATGATCCGGAAAGCGGGACTGATTCCCCAGATGTCTGAATGAGCGCCTACTAAAGATAGTTTTAAAAGTTTATGCAAAATTCTGCGGCGGCCCTTACTACAAGCCATGCAACATGGCGGAGGATATTGTTCCAAGCAAATGAAAAATGTACAGACCCAACCGTGAAAACGAAATGAAAATCTCTGAGAAAACTTATGTCTAGGTTTGTCATGCGCCGAATGCATAAAGGTGTTGACCAACCGTTGGCCGTTCTGTGCAATAATAAGGACAACTATTACTTCCAATCGCCTATCCGTAAGGAAATTGTGGCTTAAGTTCGGAAATTAAGATAAAACAGATTATCAGTTTCCCTGTGGTGAACTCCTTGGTAGTGATAGCATACAGTTCAGTACAGTTCAGTTGAGCAACTTTGATCCGAGCAACGAAGTGAAGTGCATCCACTTGCCACAACCCACACGGGAAGCAAACTGATGTCGTGATGGTGGCAGTTAGCCTAATTAGCATGGACCTTAGTGTTCATTTGGTAACAGCGAAGTTTTATTGAATAGAAACAACATATACTGAGTTGGAAATTCCGGTTTTATAGTGGAAAAATGAGCATACATGAAAAAGAGTAAGCTGGATGCGTTTCCACTATGGTACTACCGAAACCGCTTTGCCGGTTTACTCTTTCAGTGTAACAAAACAGCGAGTGATAGGCGTTTAGTCTAATGATATTAATGAATCCAATTAGGATACTACTGACTCTAAAACAAGTGGGCAAGGAAATCTGTCGCTAATTCCCTATTTAGTAAGTAGATACGTGTGCAGATTTTCCACCAAACAGTTGTACATAGGATGTTACGAATCTAGAAAACATGCTCCGACTAATGGCAAACATGCAAATCTTTGTACAAGATCAGCAGGATAGGTTATTTGATGTAAGAGTTTATGCCCCCTATTTGGATTTATCAAAGATATTCAACCGTTGAAGCATCGCATTCTACTGCACAAGCTTAAGATATATGGAGTCGGCGATCCCATTCTGCGCTGCATAGGGGACGTTCTCGTTAAACATCACCTGAATGTGAGGCTTCGCAGCACCCCATCCGAACCAATTAAAATGCATTGCGGCGTACCGCGGGGCTCGGCACGCAACCTACTCTGTTTATAGTCTTCATAAATGGTCTCGCGAGAGTGCCATTTCCAGAGTTCCTATTACTTGCCGATGATATAAATGTATGGCTTTCGATCACTACAGGGGAAGTTCACACAATACTATAAGATGATTTGGACAAAACTTACACATGGTCCATGGAGAAAATGCTGAAGCCAAACGCCACCAAATGCAAAATTCTATGCATACGCATGGGACCATAAATCGCACAGCGGGATTCTCATGAGGGCGATCTCAGTGCGTCTGTGCAAGATGACCTTGGTCGTTTGAGGCAGACCGACAAGGCATAAAAAAAAGCAAACCAACACCTCGGCCTCTCTGTTAGAGCGTTCGGAAAGTTCGAAGCCTCCGTCAATTCCCAAAATGCTTTGCTCGTGGGTGAGACCTCAAGTAAAATACGTTATTCAAGCGTGGAAACTTTGGCTGAAGCACTACCTCACCGCGCTCGATGCTGCACAACGTAGAGTGACAAAGTACCTCAGAGGTCTGTCCCTACTTCCCCAACCACTCAGACTGAAAACTCTCAAAATGTACGGCCGACGTTATCGGCGTTTACCGGAAGATTTTATAACGTTGTCACAGATCTTAAGAAACCCTAACTGCACATACCATAACCTTATGAAACTCAGCCAAAACACACCTCTGAGGGGTCATGATTTTAATTCGGCCAAGCAGTACAGCCAACTAAAATGTCAACAAGACGTTTTCTACCTCCGAGTGTCACCTGTGGAACGCGCTCCCAGCGCACGTAGTGAGTGTCCCAAACGTTGGCCTATCCAGAAACGTCTTGACGATAACATGACACATTTTAACTATGTGGTATGGCTCATTGCCATCAGCTAATGGCATTAGTGCAGACCAAAGAGTTTCACAATACACATAAACTCCTAGTAGGAATGCTAACACTTGTGTTAATGCAAACTCCTTGCTGAGTCAAGCATTTCACACGTTCTTTTCCTGACACGGATTTTATTGTGCGATTTTTACTCCCCCCATCCTACGGGACATGACAAGAATTCGCTTTTACATCCACTATAAAACACTACTCTAATGCTCCATAACGTAACACATCGTATATCCAATACAAATCAAAGATCCTTTCTGAGATGAGCTTCCGTTGTTGCACTCTTTATACTTTTTCAATATCTCCCATAATTCCTTAACCAAATTTCTAGCTGGACTTGCCCTTAAGCACGCAAAACTATTGCCCATATAGTGAAGTCATTAGGGACTTCGGAGAATAACTCCATCTAGCATTGTTGAAGTTCCGTAAGTGTTGTTACCTTTATCTACGAAGTATGTGAATCAGTGGAGGTATACGGGTCCGAAAGTGTGACGCTGGTGTATCTCATTATGACCAAGCTAATGTCGCACAGTTCTTAAGATGTGTGGCGGATGGTTGACTAAGTGTGGATGTAATGAGCCCCATTAAAATTCATTTACACATGTAACTCACCAACATACTGGCCAATGCCAGATGCTGATTAACCACAAATATTTGAAGTGGAATATACCCCGACAACGTTGCATTTGATGTTAATGTATTAGATTCTGAAAGTCTACAAACCCACATAAATGCTTTGCGCAGCAGCATCGCTAAATGTAGAACACCCATAGTACCCATCTTCATAGGTATACAGTAGGTTGTGGACATCCAAGAAAATTCTTTTATTAACGAGTTAGCATTAACAGTGAGTTTCCCTTTACTTCACTTTGTTATATTTATGATAAATGTATTTCGACAGAAGTGCACCGATCTTATCCTAGTCTTTGTTCACCCAGACAACTAATTCTTAATAGCTTACCGATGAGGGAATTTTCCGAACAACTCTAGTGTCAAGGATTCCAGTTCATTCAATGTATCTAAAACATTACGTAAATCATAAGTTACTTCAAGCTATTAAACATGAAAAGTACTTTGACATGATCCACAGAAGGTGAAAAGGTATGCCCAAAAATTTTGACCCATTACTTATGTAATGTAATTGATTACGTGAATCCCTAATTATTCCACATTACGCAATCTTTGCGGATGGATGGTTGTTCTGATGAAGGGCATTCCACTAAATATGAAACAAACACAAATCTGTTAATAAATTCAAAAATTCTAGTAACCAGATTTCTTAAGATAAAGGTCATTTTATGATGTAAATATGCTACATATGGCCAATAAATCAAATTCGCCATCAGGGTCCCCGGATCAGTAGCTGGAAGCATGCCATGAGAATACAGTCGTGCTTTGGCGAATGTGTGGCGACTTTCCAAATTCGCTAAACTACCAAGCTCACAATGCACTTTGATCCTTACCGCTCAGTGCAAAGCTGTCAGAAACAGGACACATTCAACTAATTTTAGTTCACTTAACTTAGTTTCTCACGTTTCAGGTGTTATTGTAACGAGACAACCAGTGTTTTTCCAAATGAACACGAAATTATTCTTCATGTTAGTACATAATCTCTGAGAAGAGGGCGCACATCAATTCCATTTCTCTGACTTTTATCACAAGCTACTATTCGAGTGTTCCGACTATTTCCTATTGCTGTGCGCTCGAAAATGGACTATCCACGCTAGTAACAAACGTTTTCACTTATGCACCGACTTTTAATTATAACCACCATTTCTGCAGAAAGGAAATCATTGATATCAGTTGAGGCTATACTGTGGTTTGTCCAAACGCTTCCTACAGTGAGTGAACAACAATATTTGTGCAACGGCAAAACATTAGTTCGCGGAGCTCATGAGATGCCGGAGAATTCATTCTTCGAGTTGCAGCCGTAGAGGACAATAAACAGGTAAAACGGTTCAATCAATACCACCCTCACTACCTTGCACTATTACCCTTATATATCTAAATATTTTCGACTAATGTTCATGTGTATTAGGGCGACACATAGTTGTATATTTTTATTCCACTATTGCAAACGTTGTTGATTCCAGACCTAGTCATCGCGTTCATTTTATGTTACAGACAGTTCATTGTCTGCGTTACAACAACACATAAACTCCTCGATCCTACTGTATATTAATGAGGGGCATGTTAGACCCCAGTCTTTGATAGCCCACATGGATGATGCGTAGCTTTGGAGGAATGCAAAGCTCAGCATTCACTATACCCAGGTTTTATGATTTGCATTTAACACTTATTCCAAATACACCCATATTGAACATTCGTAATGATGTAGTTATGAGTGGCTGCCCTAACTGGTCAGCCTGGTCTCTCGGTGCTCTGTCTATCACAATAATAGCGCATTAAAAGCGAAGGGAAAATTAAGTTGTCCCACAATTTGGATATACGTGGTTCGGTGACTGGAAGCAGTTGTCCAATTCTGCAATCACTCTAGGCATTTGGTCTTGAACAAGCAGATACTTTGCGGTAACTATGTTTTATGTGTTCCAAACAGCATGGTGATTCGAGGAAACAACATAGCAACCAAAAGCGTTACTGGCTGTCAGGGAAAATCTATGATATGTACGTGATGTCCGAACAGACATAACCCTCATTCATGCCGCGGCATCCGGTTTTATTCGAATATGTACTTATCGTTGAAGAAAAAACTGTGAAGACTGTTACGATGTCTTTACCGATGACTGATTACGAAATTGTCGGAAACTAGTCGTTTGACCTCATGAAGCTAACTCTGCCCGGGGTTGCACGCGTTGTGAATACCAAGTACTTACGTGTAGATTGTATCGCAAACGTCATCAGGTGGGCGCAGTAGAAGGCGTTGAAGTAGTTCAGCAACATATCACGTATTTGAGTCACAGTTCTTTCAGGGTTTCCTCTTAACGATTCACCGTTACCTAGAGTGGAAATTATTCGAAGGAACACACTTTGTATTTCATTTTACCCGTTAAGGATATAAACAGAAAGATGCAGTTATCTACCTAAGACTAAAGCTGATTAATAGACAATGTTAGTTACTTGTGAAATATCGAAACTTAAAGTATTTAAAAATAAGCCTACCGGTTTCCTGGAGTTCTCAAGGTTATCGTTTACGTTAAACTTTTCACGGGGTTTGATTAATTTGTTTTGACTCAGGCTCCTGGTGAACATATGTAAATACAATCTATGTTCCGAAGAATTATCAAGGTAAATTTGGTATATGTGCAAGTGACAATGCGCCGATTTATGGAAGTGAAACCACTGATGCTTCATATTGCCTTCATGTTCTTTCTCATTATATTCTACTCCCTTGTAGGGGTGTGAAGTATTTCCTCTGGGTCAGCTTAAGCAGCCTGGTTTCTTTATTAATCAACGTTACCTGCTGGCACCCACTGCATGGGACTCAGTATTTGAGAATGTTGCTTGAGAAGTTTTCTGTCTCATAGGCGTGTAGTTAAAACCATCGCCAATATACTTTATTGGTTGCGAAGTGCTTCATTATGCCCTCAAATTTGGCACGTCAGCAGCTAGCTTTTAGTTTTCGCGCTTACAGTGGGTACCGAAGACTTGAATAAGCGCCGTAAGATTTCGACCCGATGGCTTTTTTTATTCGTAGCACATTGACTATCCGCCGACACAGATCTTCCGTCAGTAAAAGAACACTGAAGCATTTGATAAACGCAAAATGATGGCTGTCGGAGAAGTAGTCATTCTGAAGACTAATTTTGGTGTACTAGGTCACAATTAAATATTGCGTTACGCTAAACGTAATTGTTGCATGTGTTCAAGTGATAAATGCTGGCACGGTGCTGAAGCATGACCATAAGTTCGACTTCCGCCACCAAAGAGACTACATAACGCCTATGAGTTCACGTGAGGCACGTGAGTTCCGAGGTGTGCTAGCTGCCTGACATAGTTAACATTTTTGAAATTCCTTACAAATTCGCAGTACGATACAACGGCCTTAAGTAATCGTTTCTCAGAATTAGTTGTTGACGATCCTCCACTAAAAGTAAGCAGTTCCTTGCGGTGTGAATATAATCATCAGCAGCCGCATATCAAAACAACATAGTACAAGTTGATTTAGCTTTAACAGAACAGCGTTGCACTCAGCACCGATTAAGCTTACCTTTATGAAATCTGTTGAACGGTGAATCTTCAGTGGACAAATGACAGACGAACTGTTGCAGCATTGCGTATTCACGAAGCTTGCATTTCCTGTAGTCTGTTAATAATAAGAAAACTTAATAAAATCTTTTGTTAAGTTATAACATGAAGTAACTTGTCCAAACTAATGGACAATGACCACACTTACGTCCGCTTCAACTCAACGTAGCGCCATCTGTTAGACCACTGGGATAAATGGTAATCGCATGCGTTAACCTTTTAGTAGTTCAGGTCCGTGAAGTACTAGAATGTGCCAACCTCGCCTTGAGTATTATTCACTTCAGCTGTTTTGCCGACACAGAAGGTATATTAATGTTCAATGTCTTATTACACAAGGTGCACAATTCCACGATGCGCGACAACTCTTAGTTCATGCATTTTCATCTTGTGGGATGCCAGATTGTTCTTGGATTGTTCTAATTGAGCCTGACCATTAAGCAGAAGTTAGCTTGCATGCGTACCTCAGGTAATTCTGGACAGTGGAGACTCAAGCATGTGCTTGTCAGCATATTAGTAAAACTGTCTCTAATGGTTCGAACGGCATCTCTCATAGGTACCATCATGTCCGCTTTAGTGGGTACTGAAGCGTTATACCACTGTGAATTAGATTCTCTCTACGTGTAGCCATTCGCTATCACTGGATTTTAAATCAGGCAGATACCTCGCTTGAACTGTGGAAACATTGAACTAGATTTGTTATTTACCTTATCAGTTATGCGTAGGGATTCCTACCAGCGAATTCGATAACCGTTGCACACATTTAAATTATTTAACACAAATATTATCTCTTTCGCTAGAAATTCTTCATAAATATTACGGCATTGTTGGATTTGGAGGTGCCAGTGTTGGGATAAGCAACACAAAAATATTTCCATTTTACTATTTTTACTCACACTAATTCTAAAGTCAACAATGCCGTCCTACTTCGGCAAATGTTGAAAAAAATACAAAACTGCTATTTTCGACCATGAAACCGTGAACATTCGGCAACGTTTGGTAAAGTAAGGAAGCGTGGTCTTGGTTAGAAAACTGACCTTTAACACTATCCATTCAACAGGATGAAATTCCAGATGGTTCCCTTTAGAAATGTGAAAATGTTGCTTGCTGACGCTAAATCGTCTAATCGAGTAAATGTGTGCAACGTTTTTCGATTTCCATGTATATAAGTTTGCAGCATGGATGACGTCATTTTAGCCATTCTACGACCGATGTTACAAAAAGCTGTAAAGTTACCCATTTGGGCATATATAACTTACCGTACACTTGGAATGAGTCAATATGGCCACCAAGATCTTATCTGAGACAGATAAATGTTGTAAGATATATGCTGCAAACCGTGCTCTCCCTGATTCATCCATCACTTAATTGCATTCCACAGATTTAGCTAACTGAATTTGAAGTTATATTAAACTGTAGCCGAGCACATCACCGCACCTATCTGTCAGATATTCCGTCTGTCTTTTGATATTGGACGTCTTCCGGTTGCCTGGAAATTGGGCATCATCAAGCCTATTTATAAAGGAGGAAACCGACAAGATCCAGCGAATTATTGTTCTATTTGTTTGACATCTGTAGTCTGCAAAATTATGGAACGGACAATAAAACGCGCGCTATGCCTCCCTATTGAAAATTTAGATTTCATCTTTTCTGCTCAGCATGGGTTTCGAAGCGCTCGCTTATGCATCACAAACTTGCTTGTGACAAGGGAGAAATGGGTGAGATCACTAGATGTTGGCAAACGATTGGATGTTGTGTCTGTTGATTTTACCAAGGCCTTTGACAAGGGGCCGCATGAGCGGGCTATTTTCAAACTCCGCGGAATTGGCGTTGCTGGAAATTCTCTCTCCTGGACCCCCGATTTCATGTACAGTCGCTCTGCGCACCTAAGTGTGAATGATACGCTTTCTGATCCTTTTCTTATGACAACTGGTGTCCCACAAGGTTCTGTCCTTGGCCCTGTCCTCTTCAATATCTTTATTAACGACCTACCGTCCGAGCTGCAGACGGAATGTTTGATTTATGCTGATGACTTGCAAGTTTGGATTGAGGTATCCAGTCTTGAGGATGCAGACAGGCTCCAGAAACAGTCAACCGACTCCACGACTGGTCGGTAAAGTGGCAGTTACCTATCAACCGGGATAACTGTTCCGTACTCCCGATTGGTGTTCGTGAACCATTCGGGGTGTACGATATTGGAGGTTTTGTGCTTAGAAATGTTGCTCAGGAATGGGACCTCGGAGTAATTGTGTCTCCTTACCACAAAACAACTGAGAACACCCGGAAAAGGGTCGCCGCTGCTTACAGGATGTTTCATGCCTTACGAAGAGCATTCGCCCGTCTTACTCCAGAACTCTTCAGACTCCTGTTTGCCTCACTTATGAGCCCGATTCTCGAGTATAGCTTACCAGCTGCTCAGCCTCTCACGAAGGCCGAATGCGATATGATTGAGAAGATCCAACGCCGTGGATCTAAATGTGTGCCAGAGTTGCGATGCCGATCTTATCCTCTCTGTCTCCAGCGATTAAACCTTTTCTCTGTGGATTACCATCGTGTCGCGGTGCTTTGATCTACACTCGACGTATCCTAAGAGGAGAGCTAGGAAGCAGGTTACAGCAGTTCTTTAATCTGAACATTGAAAATTCGACACGTGGTCACAGATGGAAATTGTTCAAATCGAGGAAACCCCATGTGCGGTCATATCTAGCTCTATCCATGTGCGTGGTTAATGACTGGAATCGCCTTCCGGAGCTCGTCGTTAATGCGCAGTCCGAGGAAAGTTTCAGGAAAATGTTGCATTCCCACTTGCTTACTGCCCGGATATTGCTTCACAACATAGCTTTAAGGTCCATTATGGAAATTTATTTTCACTATGACCCCAGCAATGTCCAAAATGACTGGGAAGGGACGGATCTGATAAAGGACTGCCCTTCTGCTCTCTACCGTACAATGGTACAATGATACAATTAAAATATCCAAAGGTGACCACCTCAATATTTTGGCCACCACTGTGTTAACCATAGCTTGACCATAAGTTGATCGGTCAATACGTATAAGATATGCAACCAAACCTGTGTAACTTGACCAGTTGGGCTGTTACAGTCAGTAATAAATCAACATAAGTTGATCATTGTGAGGGCTTACCATCCAATGGTTCCCGAATGGATCGCTTGTTCCGATAACACAGTGTGCAGCTGTATGTGTTGATTTCTGACCCCCAACGCAGTAAACTTTAGTTTGAGGATACAGCACGTTCAGTGTGTGCACGTGTGTATGCAAGTTTGTCCCGAAAGTCAGCGCTTAAGCGCACGCGTACTTCCTAGATCAATGTGGGTGCACAACCATCTGCGCCCACAGAATTACCTAGAACGTGTTGTGTGCAACCTCCCTCACCCTTCGTCTAGCACTTAGAACATGATTCCATCTAACGCACAAGCCACAATCAGGAGTTTGCTTCACTGCCAAGTCCACAATGAACCACGGGGTCTAAGCACCAGTTCATTAGCAACTTGGATTGTGGCGAGATTGATGTTTACTCCCATATTAATTGTCGGGTCTTTATCCGGCACTATTTTCTTCAGAAATTATTTAACTTGTGAAATACACAGTACGTTGTGTTTTGTAATAATGTTGCCTGGTTGCACTGCATTCGCCGTTAAGTGGGACCTCGTCAAATGTGTCCGAAACGGGTCGATATGAAAATGAAGTTCATACTATGCAACTCACAATTGGAAAGCACGTTCCGCAACATATTGGCAAGGAAACTCCGTATGTTGACCACCACACTATGTTAACCACTTTGGTCAAGTCGTTTGGATGATCAACTTACGGAGGTTCTACTGTAGGTTGAGAACGATAAAACTGCTGACAACCTCTGTTACACTGACAAAACTAGTGGGTCACAATGAGTAATGGCTATTGTTACCCTCATTGGTCGCATCAGCAATGTGAGTGAAGACAGACACAGGCTAGTTCCGCATCACAGTTAAATTTGATTGAATCTGACAAACATGAAGATGAGGTGGCGCTCTCACAACAGTGGGCCTCACCATCTATCATTTTCGCAACTCAGACGTGATCCAGCTGACTAGTTCAACTCAGGTTAGCTTGAAAACCAAGGGTCCCATACTTTGAGATTGCGTATCTTAATGTGTCCAGGCAACTTGTAGATAAATCTTCCATAAAAGTTATGTTATTGTGACAAGTGCTGACTGTATCGTGGTATTGAAATGGTATATTCATTTGCAAGCATTTTCGTTTAGTAGGTGAGAATCCCATTTTCCCAGTCTCTAACTAAAGCACAGTACCACGTATACAAATGCTCATGCGGCACAGTTTTGGAAAAGGTAACAGACAACACTTGTAGAGAGATAAATTAATTCAGACTTAACGTTTTGATTCGTTCTCCGTGCTGAGTAATTTAATGACCAACGTTTCACCACTTGCCTCAGTGGCATCTTCAACTCACTGCTCCGTAGAGGAAAATCTCACGGAAAGTGTCGTCGGGACGTAGCGTTTGAAATTAGCTTCGTTGATCTGTGTGCCGTGACCTCTGTTTGTTCGATATCTGGCCATTTAGTTTCACGCTTTCTCAGCTGTAGGTACACGGGATCGAGGTCAATACGGAGGTTCAGGGACTTCTCCGTAGAGAACAATGCCTCTAGGAATTCCCTTTCTTTTCTTGCCCCTCCGTGCGCCAGAATTTCTGTTTTGTCCCACTTAACATTGTATCCTTCCTCATCGAGGTGCGCTAAGATCTGTGAGGATACATGATGGTATCGACACGCACGCTTGTGCTCTTGTATTCTTGTGGATAGTTTTCTCCCCATTTGACCTACATAGTCTTCGTCGCAGTTCTCGCATTGCATCCTGTAGACGACATTTTGACGCTCATGTGCCTCCAGTCTTTCTGTAGGTCTAGCTAATATTCTTTTCAAAGTCGCAGTTGGTATGTGAGCTATTGTCAGATTGTGCGGTTTGAGGAGTCTGGTTGTCTTTGGATACCTTTTTGATGTACGGCAAGGCGATGTGTTTCGTCGTTGTTGGTGCAGGTGCGGTAGT